CTAAAATGTGTACTTATTGGTCCTCTATAGTAATCAAGTAGGTTATCTAATATTGGAGGTATTTTTTTGGTCAAAGACAGTATAATTTTTCCTCCTCTACAAGAAAGATTAAATATTGAAGGTCCAGTTTTTTTAATTCGTTCATTGAACCAAAAAATTACACCACAGTATTGACAGATGCAAGAACGGTTTCTAAAATCTATATAAATATTAGCAGTACCTATAAAAAAATGAAATGAACTTATAAGAATAACAAATAGATATTTGATTTTTTAATCTTATAGCAATTTTATAATTAATACAATGAGAAGAATTACTTTTTTGGTTATGAATTTCTGATGTTGATGGAACAGTTACGTTGGCCATTTCCACTTCTGTTTGGGGAAGTGACTGCATTGCACTAGTATGAGTCGAGAGGTTGTTGTGGTTGAAGTTCTTGCATCATCATTTGTTGGACTTTGGTTATTATCGTTTATATTTGTAAATTTGTTATCCTTAGAGGAGATGATACGCCGTGAACGGTGATTTGATTGTACAATTTTTTTGGAATGTTTTTTGTTATCCATCTGTTATATAGATATGACATTGTTAGGTTAATTCTTTCTATTCAAATCTAATTTACACAATTAACATAAACATTCTAAAAGAGGTAATAATTAAATAATCAGATTATAGTATAACAGTAAATAAGGTTGTATCTAAATAAATAAATCAAGTAATTTATACAAACACATAGTAATACACTTATTTCATGTATTATTTAAATTTATTCACTATAACATAAATATATGTACAACATGCATAAATTTCGAAAACCAAAAGTTAAATATTTACAATGTAAAATATAACAATGCAAAAAATAAATCAATAAAATCAATTACATATATTAATGTAAGTAATATACAAATACAGAAATAAATTCATATATATATATATATCTCCTATATTTAATTTCTTCTTCAGTGTTGCTCTAATAATGTGTTAGTATTTTGTAATATAACATAGATACATAGACTGTGTGAGTAAAGAAAAAAATTATTAGTCATTAGTGTTATAATGAAAAAAAACAATAAAATATGTAAATGGAAAAAGTATAAAGATAAATTCAAAGGGAATATAATCGAAATAATAATTAAAAGAAAAATGTATAAAAAAACAGTAGTTCAGATATATTTTGTTTTCAGCATTATGTGACAAATATAATAAATTTAAATATATGTAACTAATTTGTGGCTACTCATGTAAGTGTTTTTAGAAGGAACAAAACACCTGCGATAGCAGCACAAAATAATAAGTTAAAGTAAAATAGTTAGAGTGTGAAGAATTTTACCATAAAGGGA